TTTAAGCTACTGGTATGAATTTCACGCTCCAAGTTAATAATCTGATGAGCTGCAATGGAATGAATGCCAGTATTTAAAGGTATGATCAGCCTTATTAAACTGAAAAGGACTACTGTATCCTTAATTTGCACCTTAAAAGTAATTTGACAGTTTTCAGCAGCGTATGTCAAGGTTATGTCCACCCTTGATGATTCAGAACTTTAGAATTTGGTGACACTGCAGATACAGGTAAACTAGCTTTGGTAATGAAACCTCTCTAATATCAGGTGCATGGGGCTCACTGAAACCACAGAGAGACCTTGGCGTTACAGAGAAGATATTGTGAACAGTGCCTGCCACAGCATGTTGTGTCCATTTGCACTGTTAAACAAATAAGAGAAAGCAGCCTGCTTCTCACTTTCTTTTTCCTTGTTTAAGAGGGTGAAATATTCTTGTGAAATAATACTTCCAACTTTTAATTCTCCTTTGCCTAGTCAAGGACTCATGGATATTACAGAAGAGCCATCTACTTCACCTCTACAAATAAAGGAAAGCTTTCGATTGTTAATACTTTGCAAAGGCATTAGCAATTGCTCTTAAGGTTTGCTCTTTCTTGTGCTTATTTTTATTTTTTGTTGCTTACATACAGGGTAAGATAAAATAATTGGAAAAGTAACATGGTGTCTACAGAACCAAAAAATAGCTATTATTTTAACTGAACCTGGGAAACTGACTTTGGTGGTGTCAGAATCTGGAAAAGTCACCCGTCAGTCACCTAACTTCAGCACGTACCACCTCGATCCGAGCAGACACAGCTCCCTCAGTACTACAGTCCCCAAAGACTTCTCCCTCACCTGTCATCATCGAGGAGCTATTGTCCTGAATTCAGCAACCAATACCATAATTACCATACACACAACCACAGACAAAGTCTGACAATCATTAATATACATGAGCTCTAAGATTTATCCTCCAGTTGACCTAAATACATCTCTACCTGTTGCGTATCAGGAATCTGATAGTCTCATTCCCTAGAACAGTTCTGAGAACTTAAACAAGTTCAGTCACTCACAACTGCAAATGATTTTCATAACTGTATGATGGAGACAGTCACAGGAAACATCAGTTGTCATGGTCCTACTCCACTGTGGGGATTTAAAGAAGAATGAAGGAATCTGGAAGGGGTAACCTAGACACAAAACCAGCAGGAAACCAGAAGCTGAAAATGTAACTGGAGCCCGAGTCTTATTTCAGTTTTCAGTGTATGGATTCTTCTTCCTGTGTTATCGGGTCCTATTTCCCCTCAAAACCATTTTACATTTTAGCTGTGCTCTCCTTATCATTCCCCTCCCTTTCATCTTCTGCCCACACAACATCCATGGAGGGGGGAGAAATAAAAAAGAAAATGTGTGCAATTATGGAACTAATACAGATTGGCTTTTTTAGCATTCCAGGACTAAATTTTTGGCCTGGGTAGCTTAAGTAGCAGTTGTGTACCCTATCCTTTGAAAACAGTTGTTTAAGTAGCACAACATTCAGGAAGTCTGTAATGAAGGATGTAAACTCTTAGCTACCAACCACTAGGCTACTGGCTGACATTATATCAGCTTCTCATTTTGTAGTTGTTGTAAACAAACTTAACATGCACCACCACCAGCTCTAGTCACCTTTCTCATGTCATCCAAATTACAGAAAGCTATAGAATCTGATTTGTTTTTGAACACATCCCTCTGTAACAGTTTGTGGACATCAACTAAAAAAAGGTACTTAGAAGTGTGAGACTCAGCACTCCCGCCTAACAGATGGAGAAACTGAGACAAAGGCAAAATTATTTTTTCAAGATTATACAGCAAGTCAATGGCAGAGTACAATTACATTTCAGAGCCTTCTAGTTCCTAACCCTATAATCCTCTTTCCAAAATCTATTAGCACGACCAAATATGCTGTTTCAGTGATGGCCATGAATCCTCCATTCTTTTGAATGCTCCACCCCAGGTAGCACAAACATGCGTTGTTCGGATCACAACACAGAAATAATTTACAGACATATTAAACATTTGAATTCAAATTATTTCACATCTCAAGTTTCTGACTAGCAGCACTAAATTCAATGGCTTTAATTGTGAAACAATTTTTCCTAATTATAAGGTGTTGAAATAGGCTGCTGAGTCAGCACTATATAAAAACTTAAGTCTTGGGTTAAAAGCAGAGATGAAAACATAGAAATTTGTGCCCCCCTCTGCTGTACAGTAATCCTATCCCTAAATTTCACACCCTGTTGCCGAGTGTAGACTGTATTTAACAGGCACCAGCCTGGCATGAGTAAATTTGTCCCCAAGCCCCACACACTACTGCATTCAAAAAGTCTGGCCAGAGATCGACGGCTGCTCCTAGCCCTGGCAACTCGTACTGGCAGGTCTCTCTCTTCACCATCTGAAGTTGCTCTTTGGCAAGCGAGCCCTGGTTTGAACACCTCCCCAGCAACCCGCCAGCACAATTTGTCTTGTACCAGAGAGCTGCCCTTTTTTCTGACAGAACCAAGGGGCTAGATGAACTGTTTGGGAGGCAATAAGACCAGCTGCCAATTAGCTTTCCTAAAAAAAAAAACCCTGCATACCCTCACTTCACCTGATGGCCAACTCATTCAATTGACAGCTCAGTCCTTGCACAGTCCTCATCATCCTCCAGGAAAGTGGGTGGGCCTGGAAATCACTGGGTTTTCCGGACATACATACACCACTTACCTTGTGAGTGTAGCTATTGGTACACCTTTAAGGTATCACAGGGGTTCAGAGCATACAAGTCTCTTCTTCTGCCAGAAGAAAACACACAGCACACACCTAGAAACGTGTACCATTAACTCTGATCTGAGAATCAGAGCTTTTCTGCTTAACTGCAAACTGTGTTAAAGGTGTAAAACTTTTCCAAGGGCTTTCTCTGCTTACATTTTATTTACATGCACAAGCTACAGGTACTTAGAAAGTAGAAGCTCTTATTCATGAGTGCCTACATTTCAACCAAACCTTCTGAAAGCAGAGCAAGTTTTCCACTACTTCAAGGTTCTTTGGCTTTGAGGAGGCTTTTACATTTTGAATCAGTCTGTCTCTCTTCAGTTACATGAAGCTGGCCATTTCTCTCTCCTTTCATTGCCGTGAACTTGTTTGGTGTCCCCGAAGATGGATGTATATGTTATTAACTAACCTCCTTCTCTCTCTCCAGACCCACATTTCCAGTGATGAGACACATGAGTGAAAAGACAAACTGCCCAACACATGGGAAGCAGTCAGTAACTACTGCCTCTGGGTTGCTTAGCCACAGCTTTCCAGGCTTAGCTTCTCATTGTCCATCAAGCACCTAGCAAAAAAAGATGTAATTATAAAAGTTACTGAATTTTTAAAGTTGTGGGATTATAACTGGCAGAAAAGGTCTTCAAGTCATCATCCTATCCAATGTTACAGCAACCCGAAACACAGTGCTCAACCAATTTCACCTCTTCTAAGTTGGGGACACTCTCTCACAGTACTCTGGCAAACTTGTAGCACAAACTTGATAGTTGTCCAAAAGTTTATTTTGGTACCTTCTGTTGAGAACTTGCAGTTCACAAGATTGAACACTCCTGCCTCAAGCATCACCATATTCACAAGCATGAGGAACACCTTTGGGGATTGTTGCGATTTTGGCTGTCTAATTGTAATCCACAGGTACCAGTCCATTAGAGTTTGCATTCAACAGCATGCTTGGCTACGTGACCTCTGAGGCATTAGTGTTCCCAGTCATTCTCCCCACACCTCTATTAGGAGAGCTGTTTCAAGGGACAGAGGAAAAGTTGCATTAAAAAAAAGGGGGGGGTGGCTAATTCTAAAGCCTCCCTGATTTTGTGAGTGAGCCTGAAGCTTTGCAGAAACTTAAGGGAAATAGCTGGAATCTGAAATTACTATTTTTATCTTCTTTGCTGTAGACACCTACACAAAATGGTTTACAAACTCCACCCAAAAGGCAATGATTCCTAGGTATTGCCTTTTTATTTGGGTTAAGGTTTGGGAAACCTTAGAAATAGTAGGTACCTGTAGAATAGTAGGTACACCAGAAACATCAGAGGAGACTTCTCTGAAGGAAGATGAGGCTAAGAACACTTCTGAATACACTGTGAATGGTCAAAATATCATTAAATGCTGACTTTAGACACTAAAACTTTAAAAAGTGTGGATTACTTTATACTAATTAAAATACCACCATCTCCCCTCAAAACCCACGGTGATAAGCAGCAAGGGTTATTTACATTGGCATTACTGAAGCTACGTGGGATTATGTCTGCGCAAATCAACAGTTAAAAAAAAATTTTACCTCACCTATGAGCCAAGCCAAAAGCTAGAACATTACCTTTCAATGCAACATATTTCATATTAATCTGCCCCTTGAGAGGGGCACACCTGAGCTTGCAACTATTGGTTCTGTTATCACAGCTTTGCATATTTAGGCTTTTTTTTTTTTAAGAAAGATTCGTTGTATATTGTAATAATGCACAACCGGCAGCGTTTATTTTCATTTTGCTTTAATGAAACACAAATGGATCTCGGAGTCCCAATGACTCAGCTTTGCCGTTACTAACTGAACAGCGCGGTGATTTTAAGGCTTCACGGCTAAGACGACAGGAGGTCCTGAAAGCTGCGGCTTCCCACTCCAGTCCTCCCCATCCACGGTCCGAAGTCACGGCAAGGGCCGCCAAGAACTTGACTCGCTCTCCGTCAGCGCTAAGACGAACCACCCTCACCGACACCATTTTGGGATTCGCGTCCCCAGCGGTCAGCTCCCGAGGGTCGCCCGGGGAAGGGGCAGCGGTCCCAGCGGCGGGGAGGCAGAAGGCAGGGCTCCCAGGCCCGACGGGGGGAACGCCGCCCCTCCGGGGCCCCGCAGCCGCCCTCCCAGCCGGGAGAGGCTCCCGGCGGCGGGGCTACAGCTTTCGCTGCTTGTGCCGGGGGTTGGTCTTGCAGAGGACGTACAGCCGGCCCCGCCGCCGGACGATGAAGCAGTCCTTGCACCGCCTCTTCAAGGAGGTTTTCGTCTTCAGCCCCGCCAGGAGGACCGGCGGCGGCAGCAGCAACCCGGGCGGCGGCGAGAGGGC